ATTCAGACAGTCTTAAATTAAAGCCTTTGCCTGTCATCAGAAACATGTATGTAGTGCGTCTGACCTCTGCACCCTCTCCAGGATATGAGTGATCATCCTGTCTGTGACACCAGGACAGATGTCCTCAGCCACATGCAGGCTCTTCTCCAGCTGCTCGAGAACTCCTCTCGTCACGTCATCGTCTCTGTGCTGCGATTTCAGCTACAACGAAAAGCTCACGCTCTGATACACAGTCAATCCCACTTTTGTTTTTGCGGCTACATAACTAGACTGATTTCCGGTCAAATTACGATTCTGAATGGCATTTTAATTTCTGTTCAGCTCCCCAAACTGGAGCATATGAGAAGACTAGCTCCCCTACCTCTGAAAAAACAGGAGCCATGACGGTGGTTAAACTGCCTGACTTCTTCTGCAGTTCTTCATCCTGAAAGAAGGAGATCAGAAACACAAACTTGTTCTCAATAATCAGGTACAGAATTTGAACATTGAATATCCAAATCATCATTCAGAACTCACCATTCCATTGGGCTGCTTCTTTTCCGGCTTCTTCTTACGGACAGTGAAGGACCACTCAGGAGACGAGTCATTGTCCTTACTGCTGGACTCCCTGATAGGCACACATGAAGAATCCATTGAGATTTTCAACTTGCTGTGCATGTGTAGTTTGATCAGTTTAAAATACATATCAGAAAGAAAGAGAAAGACTTTTAACCCTCTGGGCCTCTTCGGTCACTTTTCACCGAAAAATGTTTTACAATTTTTTGCTTCATTGAAAAATTGTGGACATGATTCGGATATGTTAAAGGGTCGAATAATAAAAAGTAACACTTGGTACCTTCGCGGTCAAAAATGACAGACATAGGAAATGAATGGGAAATACGAAAAAAATATGGAAAAAAAAAAATAGCTCATAAAAATTGTATACATATTGCATAGTATCACTCCCCCAAAATTGTAAAAAAAAAAAAAAAAAATCAAAAAATATTATTTAATAAAAACCGTGAAGGTATCAAGTGTGAAAAAACTGTCTAAAATGACTGGAATGATCCTGAGAACATATGCAGTTTAACTGAAAACAAAATGCATTTCTGTTAACAGCCAGATTTGTTCTCTGCAATAAACAACATAACATGGTGCTGTTTGGCTTGGATTTATTCATTGCGCCCTCTTGTGGACTGTTGTTTAAAAAAAAAAACTGGTGTTCAGTGATTTTTCCCCTAACTGAAATATTCTTCACTCTTCAGAATTCAAATACAAGTTGAATATTGGAAGAATTTAAGTGGGGGGAAACAAACTAATTTATTTTCTGAAGTGTTAATTGCAGAGGGGAACATTTTCAGCCAAGAACAGACTTACATTTCAGTCTGTCATGTGGGCTGCACTGACTTGGAAACTTGACAGATCTTGGTCACTGTATGCTTTCACTCTATGATAAGAGCTGCATTAAAGGGGTCATATGATGCTGCTAAAAATAACATTATTTT